GCTATACATCTAAAATGTATCAATTCAGCTACATATCTAAAATGTGCCAATGAGAATAGCCTTGCGCGGCCTTTTCAAATTCTCCCGCTCTGCTAGTCTTTGTATACCTGAGTATACCATATGTTGCTCGGAAAGGAAGCGGCAACATCGCAACCATGCTATGCTAGTCTTTGTATAACTGAATATACCATATTTTGCTCGGAGAGGAAGTGGCAACATCGCAACCATGCTATGCCAGTCTTTGTATAACTGAATATACCATATTTTGCTCGGAGAGGAAGTGGCAACATCGCAACCATGCTATGCGACTATCTTTCTCCCTCTCTCTCGCTCTTCAACACATCCTATACTACCTTCAGAGCGGAGAAGAGAAGCACACTTGCGTCTCTCTCCCTCCATCACCACGACCCAAGATGGAAAGAAGAGGAAAGGCAACTTTACCCCCTCTCTCTCTCTTTCTTTCTTACATAGTGCGTTGCCATGCTCTTCACCAGTGCTGTCAGATCGTGGGTAAATCTTACCCTCTCCCTGTGCCACTGGGATTGCACACAATGAAAGTTTTCCATGTTCGTGTGTTTGGGATGTCGAGGAAAGCCGAGTGTAACCGAAGTTGGCGGGCACGCCGGAGTGACACACTATGAAAGCGACTCGTGTCGTCCGAACACATGGATCTGACAGCACTGCCCTGTACTAAGGGACTGTGCGGCCCATAGGAGAAGTAGGGGTAAAGAGTAGGGSTGACGGRGTGAGAAGACATAACGTCTCTTATATACGCTATTCTTAACAATTATTATATTATTTTTCTCTAAAGATACAATTTTGTTTTGAGCATCATTTAATTCTAATTTTATATCATTTAACATTTTCACTTCATTTTGCAAGATTGATATTAAATGTGTTGAATCTTTATGTTCTTTTAAAGTAATTTTTAATTTTTTCCTTTAACTGATTAAGTTGTGTTTTTAATAAAGTATTTTCATTTCTCGTTTCTTGAAGTTGAACGTCAATAACAGAACTTAAAGTCTCACTTGTATTCATAGGTATCAACAAAGAATTTTCTAATATAACTCCATCAACTTCAAAACTGTCTTCTATCGATGACAGTTATCGATGATTTAATTTTCTTAAATGTGTACGTAAATCTTCATTAGTTATTTTAAGATCTACTATTTCTCTTTCCTTAGACTCCATGTCTACCGTTAACATTTCTATAGATCTTTCTAAGTTATTGCACTTTTCGTTAAGACTTACATTTTCTTTCTCTAAAAATGTTGTTAATTTTTCTGTAACAGTTGTTTTATGTTTTTCCAATTTAATAATATTATCTTGAGATTGAAGTAACTGATTTTTTAATTCATGTATTTTTCGCTTGTAATAATCTTCATTGTGAAATGTATTCTTTCCTTTTTTACAAGATCTTGGAGTTGCTAGTTTATTTTTTTCTTCTTTTAATTTTTTTATTTCTAATGTTTTTTCTTCCAGTAATTTCATTAAACGCTGCACTTTGTATTTTTCTATTCTTAAATCCTCTTGAAGATCTGCTTTTTCAAACCTCTCTACTTCTAATTCGGATTTTAAAAGTCTTAATTCACGATTTCTTTCATTTAAAATTCTACTGCTTTGGGCAGAACGTACTACCGGAGAACCAAAAAATTCCTTAAGAGAACGTGTATTTGGTGTTTTAAATACATTTTTTCTTTCAATTTCAGTTAACTCTATTATARCGTMTCTTAATATTTCAAAAGAAATGGACTTTCCATAAGGTAATACCATTTCAAGAAAAGATTTAATTTTAATTTGTGTTTCATGYTGTAATTTAGTACACATAGGTAAATGAAAATTAGAATTTTGACTCGCATGAGATAGTACTAACGACATGATATATGTGTCTTCGGAATATTTTTCAATTTGATCCTTATTAATTTGAAATTCAGGATATTCATCTAAGGGAAAAATAATTTTTCTTACAGAATATGCTGGTAAAATATTGCAAACAAAAACTGAAACCAAACCCCCTGTATATATAAATAATATTTATATACATGCTTACCTTTAATAAATGCGGAAATAATATTTTCATCATCAGATCCATTTACATCTTTTCTCAAAGTCCTATAAAAWATAATAATTAAAATTAATTTACKAATAGGAAGAATTTTATATTTGAAAGTTTCATTTMATTAATTCTCAATTACTTTAAATTAGTAAGTAAAATACATATAAAATAAACATATTAATTGTTAATCATACTTACAATGATTCAATTAACTTTCCATACAACTGTTTCTCTTTTAATTCTTCAATGTCTTTAATTGGTGCTTCYAAAACATTTAAACAATTAATCTAAAATACAAGTCACGATGTTAATTAAGAATCACAGTGAATATAATTAAAGAAAATCATATTAAAATGTTACAATGTTTTCAATTATTAAATTTATTGAAAGTATAAACATAGTTATTCAATATAATCACAATAAATATAAATATAAAATGTAACTTATAT